AAAAATAAAATTGATGTTATTTTGGATGAACAGCTTGTGTTGACCAATGATAGAGAGATTCAATGCTTTCTTGTTCGTTGGATAGATCGACTTAATTCTGACGGTACATGGATTCCCAAAGAGAGACTTCAGCAGCGTGAGCCAAATTCATTGGAGCTTTATAAGAGTCAGCAAAATCCTCATTCGCCTAAGTTATCTTGGTCAGCTCATGTTTTTGCGGGTAATTTGCAATTGGCGTCGTCATCATTTGTGGAATTTCGATATTTGGTTTTTCAGAAAGATCGTCCCCCATGGCATGACTTGGAGCCTTTAGTATCAGATTCATTGCAACATTTTGATTTATCCACTCGACGGGGTCGAATTTTTCTCCCACCCCGGGAGAGTTGATGCGGACATCCATTTACTATTTATTTTCTTCCATTTACTATTTATTTTCTATTTGGACTATTAGTTATATTTTATTTGGATTATTATTTATATTTCTGTTATTAGGCTTGTTTAGCGGGTTTAGCCCAAGCCCTTCTCTTTAGGGTTTTTGTTTTTTTATTTATTTTTGTTTTGTTGCGTATTTGAGACAGTTGATGAATTAAAGAATAGAATGCTTGGGTTATTGCCTATGGCTTCCTCCTTCTCCCCTTTCCCCTGATTTCTACTTCTTCTCTGATTTTCTCCCCCTTTCTCTCCGGCCCTTTCCCCCTTCTTCCTGCCTTCTTCTTCTCGTTGGAATTCTACTTGCTAGTTATGTTTTTTTTGCTATTTCTAATTATTCTGCAGGAATCATCCCTCATCCTGCATCAATATGTAGTTAGATGAGCTAATTAACAAGAGAGACAAAGCTCACTGCAGGGAGAAAATGTCATAGAACAGCGCTCACCCCCAATTAGTGGTGTCAATCAGGCTAGGTTCCTCATTTCTCTGTGGCCAGGCTCAGCCTGTATGTCATCCCAAAGTAGGACGAGCAAGGATGAGCCCAAGCACTTAAATATATCCAATAAAATGATGTCACAAAATCTTCAAACAATTACATGCGTCAATATAATTAGCAAGAGTAAGCACTATAGCCTCGTCGTGGATCTTCCAAGAAAAAAGAATTTCCACCTGGTAAGTCCTTCAACTTTCTTGTTCTTAAGTTCTCGATTCATGATAAATTTGAGAGGAAGTGATATTCTTTAGGATCTACTCCATCACTGAAAATTTGTTAATGACATATTCAATTTTTATTTTATATTATTTTAAGCCCCATTCAGGCTGGCCTGCAGGTCAGGTTCAATGTTCAGCACAGGCCACCTTCAAGCACTCAGAACCTAACTCAACGATCAGGTCATGGACAGCTTGCCCACGTTTGACACCACTACTCCGTCATTCACAAGTACTAAACTACTATTATGGAGAGATTCGGTAGCTCAGATAGGAGTTAATTATTTGTTTACATATCTGACGCGTCAAGTGAATCATACGTACAAGTAAATAAATGGCTATGACAGTATATTACATGGTTGAAACAACTACTACCAGCAAAATCCTTATTCTTCAAGAGCATTGTCCTGCTTCTTTTACTGTATTCACATTACGACAAAACAATTGTACGGAGGTCTAGACAATTATAGATTCATGACTTCATCCACATGATCTTAGTACACAGACAGCTATCTAAAACTGAATTTTTGGCAAATGTTACTTTAAAATCATGAATGAAGATGATCATGTACGACGCCTCATGGCCACTCAGCAACCTAAACCAACCTCGACCAGGGAAATAAAGGAATAAAACATGATGTAGTGCCCATAAAAGAATCTGTCTAGGAGCCTACAAGGAGTGAGCTTACTTTCAGTATCAATGAAGTTCCACGTTCAGCATGCAATGGATCTTGTGAAATTGGTGAAATGGACCCTTCTGAGAAGAAAGCCAGGAAGCATAGAGAACTATCAAGATGCTTCATATTGAGCAGAATTTGACAATCAACTCTGGTAGTTGATCACCAAGGCTATGTGGCGTCTTTACATATGTATATGAAGTGGCCTTATCATTTAATGCCACGTCAGAAGGTGATCAACTCCAATGGGTATAAATAGCATTACTCTTTCCAAAAATGTAATCCAAAAGGTCTGACTTAATTTGATGCAAGCGTAATTCCTTTTGTGAAAGGACGCAAGACACCAGCACCAAAGTCCCATTTCACCTTCACAGCATGCAAAGAACTGCAGTGCCGAGAATTGACATAGGAGTTCTGTACAATCTCATTCTTCCTTTGTTTCACCAATAAACATTATATGGCACTTGTATTTTCAGAAGAAGATTCTCAAATCTTCAAATCAGATTCTCTTTTCCGTCTATAAGAGTATATCGAATCAAACACCACTTTACCGATCCTTCTATTTCTTCGACTCCTTTTACTTCTACCTCTCTTCCTAGCCTTTTCAGCTGCAGGATGAGACATTGGCACGTAACCAATCCAACAAAGTGGCAGTAAAGCAGCAAAAAACTGTATCATAATACCTCGAGGAAGACTAGAGTAATCACCATAGGTGATACCAAGAAGAGAAGCCAACCCAACCCCAAAAAATCCACTAATTATAGATGACAAACACAAGGCAGATGCTAAGAAAGACATTAGAGATCCTTCACAACCCGGTGGAGCTAAATCTGCAAAAAACACAAGGAACGGCAAGAGCTTGAATTGTGCAATAGTTTCAGCCAAGCCTGAAAAGCAGAGAGCAAATACTTCATTCGGAATTCCTAATTGAACGTTGATTTTCTTAACAAGTACCAGATCAAGAAGCAGAGAAGATGCATATATCAACTGCACAATTCCGATCAATTTTCTCAAGGGAATACTTTTCCCGAGCCGATTATAAAGTAAAGTCAATGAAAGAAGCATCAATTGTCCTGTCACCCGTGACATTCCAATAATTGATGGATCAAGATTTAAACACTGAGTTTGATAGCAAAAGATGGAACCCGATAGGATTGGAATCATCACAATAGAAGAAACAACCCAAATAAGAGGCCGCAAGATTCTCTCTTCTTTAACTGCCATCATAAGATCCGAGCAGGATTTCATGATACTTTGTGAAATAGATTCCCTTGCAAGAGAACGATTTGAAGGTTGGATTAAACCTAGGGATTTTTCTCTCGTGTTTAAAGAGATTGTGAGTTGAAGGGCAAGTAAAGCTGCAAAGGCCAGGAACATGGATTTTGTTTGTTGGGTTTTCAATAAGAAAAACCCACCTAGTAAATTTCCTAGAACTCCACCCAATGCCGAGGCCATAAATGCATAAGATTGGAGTCCCGGCATCTTCTTTTTTTGGCCATACTCTGCAACAAGTGCATCTTTCGCAACTTCTGAAATCGATGCTCCGAGATTAGTAACAAGAACACATGCCATGAGAGCCGGAAGAGCTTCACTTACAACCGGGATCAGGGCCAATGATCCCCAAGACAAAATCTGCAAGAAGGCTGAAGAGCTTGATACATCAGGGTTAATCGTGTCATTGGACAGACACAAATCTTAAGCAGTTAAGTTAATCAAATTTAGAAGCACGTATGCTCGTGAAAAGAATTTTCTTTTTCCATTTAAAGAACTTTGCTAAAGCAATTAACGGCATGAAATATGTGGCATGCCTTCCTTTTGCAGGAGATCTCAAAGACATTTTCAGATATCTCAGAATACAGGTCCAGCCTACAGTAAATTATAAGTATTTTACTAAATCATTACAAAGAATTCCACTATGATATATGTGGTCATCGAAGAAGATTACAATTGAAGTATCAAACAAATTTGCTCAACTTTTATAGAAAGAAGTTATCATTTCACATTTGAAAATCTTTTGCAAAGTGAAGCTAACATTTAAAACCACAATGCCTTATACCACACTAAAGCTACATATAGGAGCAAATGCAACAACATAATTCCGTACAGAAAGTTTACAAAAAAATAAAAAAATCCCTTGAGAAAGATAAATTCGTGCAAAATCGAGCCCTCTAATTGAAAGAGGTTATAGAATAAGCTTAAATGCATCTTGAATTAGATAACACAACAAATGACAAGCCAAAAGACCAACAAAAAAAGATCAAGCAAGAAAATTTATAGAACAACATGGTTATTCTCCCAACTAAGATAAACAAAATAATGATGAAACGTGAATCTTAATTTGAAAAGTAACATAGCAAAGCAAGAAATCTTTCAAAAAAAAAAAAAAAGGTTATGAAAATGGACAAATTGTGAAGTTTTACCTCCCATGGAAACATAGGGGATCCTATGAGCACCACCAATATAAAGAGCATCAGACAAGATCCCATATAAAGGTTTGGCCACCATAGGCAAATTACCAGAGTTCTGCACAAGCTGCAATGTTGATGGTTGCATATTAAGATTGTGGGCCATGTGGTAATTAAGTGCCAACCAAGGAAAGCATCTGAAACCATTGACATAGTACCCAAACCCACACAAAACCATCAGTTGTTGATTAATCGCCTTAAAAAATTCATTGTTTTGATCTTTCTTGGGTTTATCCTTGCTCTGATTTAATCGCTCATGGGATGGGATAGAGATAACTGGATTTATCAGCTGAAATTTGGGCCTTCCGAAATTGTTTATAATGTTCTTGGGATTCAGATTCTGCTGCTGAGAACAGAGAATACTGGATTTCAATGTGCATAAAGATTGGTTTTGCGATCTTACATTGAATGGAAATAATGGCATTGTGCTGGAAAACAGTGAAGAAATCATGATCAATTTCACAATTTGTAGAGTTTAAGAAGAGTTTTTCCAGAACCAACCCACTTATTTCCAACCTAAAAGCTCTTCAAGAAAATGATTGCGAATCTTTCAGACAAGAAGGAAGAATCAGCGCTACATGGAATATATTTGATTAATAGGAATCTAGAAGAGTCAAGGGAGAGTAATCTTTGAGTTATTCATTTATTTTTGGCATAAAATGAAGAGAAAATTTTCGTATCCTACTTCTAGAGAGTGTTGGAGAGGGTTCTGGGACATGGTGTCGTCTTCCATTTAGGGTTGCAGGCGTATCTCCTCATTGTACTGTTTCTTGGGAGAGGGTCCCAAATCCAATAGACAATAACAGCTTGTCCCTCTTGTCAATAATTATTGAGCAATTACAAAAGTTTTGTACTAACCAAAAGTCGTGTAGCATTAGGCCGGGGTCACGCTCTATTTTAATGAAAAATTAGGAAAAAATATATATCTTATAATAGTGATTTTTCAAAGAATTTGTAATAATGAGAAAAAGTTTTTGATTTATGTATAATATTATTTTATTAAAAAATATACAATTAAAAATAAGAAAGAGAAAAATGTATTTTTTCAACAAAATGGAGCCCAAAACAAGGGCCAGATAAGGCAAAATGTCTCGTCCATCTTGCATAGTCCTATCCTAAAGGAAGTGGTGATTTACTGATTTATCAACTCATCTAGCTGGAATCCTTGGCAGGATGGAGAATTGGCAGGGTGGTCCTAACCCATTGTCGTCCTTATGTAAGATGGAAGTGATATATTTTGAGATTTAGGTTTGGATCTAAAATTTTATGGTTTTGATTTGAGTCAAATAATATTGAAGTGAAGTATAAAAATTTCTTGATTTGTTTGTAGTGTTGAATGCAATATAAGATCAACAATCGTTATGTAGCATTTCTACATAATATTTCTAAGGTTGTCAATTTGGCTTGTTGGCTCGAGCTGCCCATACCCGACTCGAAACTCCGACTGTGCCCCATTTTGGAGCGTCAGCCCAGAGCCCGAGCTAGCCCGTATGAACAAGCCACATGAAACAGCTCGTGTCACAGGCCATTTTAGGTTTGTTATGAGCCGAGCCTTAAGGAAAATTGCAGCATTGTGATGAGCCGAGCCTTAAAAAAAAGTGCAGCATAGTAGCATGTGGGGAAAAACGTGAGATAAGGCTTGAGCCGAATGCTCGAGCCGAGCCTATAATTTTTGGCCGAGCAAAAGCTTGGCTCGACTCGAGTCAAAAAAATCCGAAGAGTGCTAAAATTACTTTTGAAAAATGATTTGGACGGTTCACATCTAAACTTTTTAAGAATGATAATCATATTTTGTTGTTGATATTTTTCACTCGGAAAAGTACTAACTATTTTCCCACTTGAGTTGAGATTCCACATAAAGGTTGGTTGCGGCTATCCCTTAAGGCTTGATTTAGCTTATGATTGACTTATAATCATATTAATAAATCTTAATATCATAGTTTAATTAATAAAACATTCTTATTAGGATCTAGCTTTGTTATATAAAAAAAATTAAACTATAGAATTAAATAAATATGCATAAGAGTAATGGTATTAAAATTTAAATTAAATGTCAAGAAGTATTTAAGAAAACTCAAAAATGTAAAATAGATTAGACATCGAAAATCAAGTACAATCCACAATTTTTGAAAAGTCGATCCATCAAAAAAAAGTTCAACACAGATGTACAAACAAGACATACCATCAAGTATAAACAAAAACTCTTTTGTTTAGTACTTCATTGATCATGCTTAAAAAAAAAAAATTAATTTAAAAAAAAAAGGAAAAGAAAAATTGTAGTCAATTCTTCCAACAATAAGCATAAGCACATTCAAGCCCCCGGGGCATAGTTCAGTGGTGCAAATGACAGGAGTGAAATTATCTCACGTCTTGCTGACAGCCGCAGTGTGGGGGTTTGATTCATGAGACATGAAATTTGACTCTTTGTAGGCGCGGTGTACAGGCAGCTCTTGTTCCCTGACCTGTTGGGCACATCCCGCGATTTACCTCCCTCACAAAACTCTAAGAATTGGATGGTAGGAACCCTCAAGGTTATGATTCAACTTTCTTTTTTTTTTTTTTTTTTTTTTTTTTTTTTTTTTTGCCAAATAAAAAAAACCCCGATAAAAGGGGAAGCTCAATTAAATTTGTTGAAAGGTATGAATGCAATTCTGTTCTATTTCCTTTCGGTTTTTTTTTTTTTTTTTTTTTTTTTGTATGAGCACATTCAAACAAACCCTCTCAATCCAAACGTAATTTAAATATCATATATAGGGATTGCCAAAGCATGCATTGAGATTGTCAATGAGCAGGGGGGACAAACAAACTAGAAGTCGGAGAATGATGATTTAGATTCCGTGACATGTGACCATATGGTATGGGCAGAAATTTTATTCTCGAGGAATCCTAGGTCGTTGAGAGTATACAACTAAAAGGGAAAATTGCAGCGAGATCCCAAACTTTCAATTTATTGTAGATTACATCCAAAAATTTTATTTTTACACCCACGGCCCCAAACCTTTCACTTGGATTGCAGCCAAAGGACAATGGCAGAATCTATATATTAATCAACCCGAAATTCAAACTTTGACTCAACTTGACAAATCATGTAAAGGATAAAATGATGAATTTACATTTTTTATAATAAAATAATTAAATAAATAATATATTCATCTACTTCAAACCCCCCAACCCATCCCCGAATGAAAACATGATAATCAGTCATTATGATAACAAATAGCATTGCTCATACCATGCAAATAGTAGAAAATGTCCCTTGTGTGCGGGTAGTACTTGTTATCATCTTGCAAGATGATCCGTGCATATGGAAATCGTAAATAATAAATTTTGATTAAAAAGTTAACACATTATTAAAGTCGAGTCGAAACTTGTCTCGACCTACACCACCTTACAATGGGCCTATGTAGTCGGGCGTATAAGTGGGCTTCTTTGCGAACGATTCGAGCCCAACCTGATTAGCCCAACTAAGTGCAAAGGTTCAATGCATGACTTGTTACTAGTTTAGTGGACATAATGAAAGTATAGGTAAAAATGAGCGCAAAGAAGAAAGAAAAATGAATTAAGATTTGCTATCCAGGTTTGTCTCTTCTAACAATAAAATTTTGAAATCTCTTCGTAATTTTGAGATGATATAAAAACATACTTGTCGTTGTCATATTCATTCTCCGTATTGTTTCAACTTTATTGATATTCCGAATGGAGCAAGCAGACGCTATCTCAATATTCTAAACAAATCTAGATTTTGCTCTTAAAGATCACTACTAAATCGATTCTCCTTTACATAGCTCTACTATAGTGACGAATGAAAATATGCTAAAAATCTCGTCTACTTTTGTACTATCCAGTATTGCTTTTTGTTTGGTAAATTCTAGAGTTTGTAGAAACAATTATTTCCAGAAAGAAGGATTTCATATACTCCACCACATGGACACATAAAGTGAATGATTAAATCTCCCCCATTTATCTCATCCACCCACACTGCTTTCTCTGCTTCATTCTTGATTTCATTCTGCAAAATCAAAGAATCGCATCATTAATTGGAATAAAATTATCGTTGTTATGATAAAAATTAGGGAAACCTTGTGTTCTTCTTCATGTATGACTTGGTTGCACCACTGATTCATCTCTTTCGTCCGTTCATTCATTCTCTTCAATCTCTGCAATTAAGCAATCAACAAACAAAATTTGATATCAAATTTTTTTCCCAAAAAACAAAAAAACAAAACACACACACACACACACACACACACACACACACACACACACACACACATATATATATATATA